TATAGATAATACAAAATATATCCTTTTCAATATAAGGAAAGTATCCATCTTTGACTCAATTTTGACTTCTTAGTAAATTTACCAATCTCTTTAATTTCACAAAAATCATATGATGAATAGCTACATAAGAAACATAGTACTCAGGTTTGATTCAAGACGCCAAATAAAACAATCAAACAAGCAAAATTCAAAAAGAAAAATCAAAAAGAGGAGAAAAACTACGTCGAGGAAGGTGGAAAGGCTGGAGGAGCGATGAGGAGCAAAATTAGAGCATTTAGGAGGCAATGACACCGAAAAAGGTCTGAGGATAACAGAAAAGACTAGAAAGGAGAGGAAGAGGGCAATCTAGGTCGGAGATGGTGAGGAGCGATGTTCACGTCGACATTGCAGTCTATGTATTAAGAGGGAAATATAGCAATTGCTAGAATCGAGGGATCTATTAGTAGGAATAAAAGTCTAGAGCATCCAGACTCCGAATAAAATAGAAGCAGAGAAAATTGTCTATTGAGGGCTTCCCCTGTAGTTATATAAAATCGCCAATATGGAACATAGCCCCTCTTTTTTTTTCTAATTCCAAGGGGTGGCCTAGGACCCGAAGGACCCTATGTGCCATCATCCATGTCCATTGTATAGGTTATGAATGAGTACACTACACTTTTGAAATTTTCTCTTTAACTACTTTTGTCTTTTCTATTGAAAGTTAATCCTAATTCTAATTCTAATGAGTTTTTATATTAATTATCATTAGAAGTTCAAGTTATTTTGTTTAGATACTCTTATCTTACTTGAGTTAGGAGTTATATTTTAATTATTTCTAGTTTGTCTTTATTATCTTTTAGAGTCTGTATTAGATTGAAAGCTTTGTACAAACTTATATAATAGACCTCTTGTACCAGTGACCTGTAACAAGAAAAAAAAAGGCAGAGAGAGTAATAAAATTGTTTTTGTCTCTCTTCTCCTTCTCTTCTCCTTCTCTTCTCCTTCTCCCATATATTATTACTTTGTTCAAGTTTCTATTTGCTCTAACAGTGGTATTAGATCCATGAATAATTTGAACAAGATGACATCGCCTTCCATTCCTATATCGAATGGAAGGAATTATTACCGGTGGAGAGTGTAGATGAAGGTGTTATTTGAATATCAAGATATACTGGGTGTAGAGAATGGAGTTGTTAATCTCGTAGAGAGCGCAAGTAAAGCCGAGAAGAAAACCCATAGTGAGAACAAGAAGAATGATTGGAAAGTGTTATTCTACATTTGTCAAAGAGTGAATGATCCAATTTTTGAGAAGATCAATAGAGCAACTACGATAAAGAAAGCATGTGATATTTTGGAGACATCATACCATGGAGTTGAAAAGGTAAAAAACATTAGGCTTCAAACATTAAGACACCAATTTAAAATTTTGCAGATGGAATCTGCTGAAAGTGTTGCAGATTATGTGACTCGAGTACTTGCTTTGACAAATCAAATAAAAATAAAAGGTGAGATGGTTGCATATTTAGCAATTGTGGAGAAAATATTACAATCTCTTACATCAAAATTTGATCATACTATGGTGGCAATCGAAGAGTTGAAGTGTATGTTTAAGATGACAAGTGGTGAGTTGATGGGTACCCTACAAGTTTATGAGTAACGCATGAAGGAGAGGTCAACCAAGAAGCCTCTTGAGAAAGCTTTCTAAGTCAAGCTTCCATAAAAAATAACGAAGGAGCATAGGATGTATGAGATTAGTGAGGGAGAAATTTTTGTGGCAGTGGACAAGGATATAGTAATTACAACAACAATCAAAGAGATGACGAAAACTAGAGAAGCAATTATCAATCAAATTCAAATTATCAAGGACAAGGCCAAGGTCGAGGCTTGGGACGTGTTAGTGGAAATTTTAATAAATCAAATGGTGAACGTGTAGGCTATAAAAATTGCCTCAACAATGAGAATATCTAAAGACCCGCCTGTATGGGTACGCCTGCACGTAGAAGAGCCATGCAAGGAGGGCTTTAATCATCGAGCCCGCCGTCAAGAGCTTAATTCCGCCTGCATGCTTGACTCGCCAGCGTAAGCCAAATCCACTCAACGCTAAGTTTGTTAGCATGAACGAAGCTCGCCTGCACGTACAGACAACCAGCAGTCTGCCTGCAAGTTCACCAGCACGGACGAATCTCGTCTGCACGTACAAACAACCAGCAGTCGGCCTGCAAGTTTGCCAGCACGAACGAAGCTCGCCTGCACGTCCAGACAACCAGCAGTCCGCCTGTAAGTTCGCCAGCACGAACGAAGCTCGTCTGCACGTCCAGACAATCAGTAGTCCACTTGTAAGATCATCGAGCTCGCCAGAGCATTAGGCGGCTATAATGTCACGTACAGGGATAGGCCTTCCCATTTCTCACGACGTGAAAAAGGGGGAGTATAGTACTCCGCACCCATCAGGTAGCCGCTCACAGGACAAGTGAGAGGCATGACATCTCTCAACAGTACATGATCACACCCCATGATTCAAGGGAATGACCATGCTGTCTCTTTCCTATTTAAGAGCCTCTTCTGGCTACATGGAAAGGGGGCTTTTTTAGTAGGTTTGCTTTTAGTTGATTAGCTAACTTCTCAGTTGACTGGCGACCCGCTCTTTGTATTGTTCTTGCACTGTAGCATCTTCTTCCAGCTCTCGGCCTTGACAGCCATTAAACTCGGGAACTCGAACTCGATCGACACGAGCTTCTACTGTGTACTGAAGCTCGCCCGCGACTTCGCTCAGATAGTCCAAGGGAAGTAAACTTGGTTCCGACACTGAGGGAAGCGTCCTATCACTACCAAAGACTTCACGTTAAACAAGGAGTGCATTCCCTCCGCTTCTGTTGTAACTTTGATTTAATAGTTTGTAATAAGTTATTCTTAATAATACAAATGAAATCCCCATTTCAAGAAATCAAATTTTACACCTACAGAAGATGGCGATAACAGTGGAAGGAACCGTTTCTTCAACCGAAATGGTGGTAGCGTAATTCGATGAAGTCGCAGTTGAGACAACCATGGAGACCTTCGTGATCGAGTTCGACCAAGCCAAGTATGAAGAATACTTGTCTTCCTCCTCCTCTAATGGAAATGCCTCCCACAAGCGCTATAGAATCGTGTGTGTGGTCAGACCCCAAGTGGTCGAGGCATCCATGCTTGAGGACTCTACCTGAGCGATGGCAGGAGGTTTCATCTCTCCTAAGTCAGCCAAGGCCGAGCGGAATACCAAGAGAACAGAGCGAAAGACTACTAGATGGGTCGCTAAATGATCCTCGCAGACCCCCATTCGAGAAGATATAATTGTTCGCCTTGGTGTGGACCATCACAGTCTGCATGGACGCTCCTCTCCCTAAGAGAGCTCGCCAGCGGCGATGACAGGCTCTCACCCGACAAGAAGCCCAAGCCTTCGTCTCTTATGATGGCCTGAATTATTACTTAGGCCTGAGGAATGCCAAACAGAGACACAATCTTCTCAATGCTGGCGAGCTGAGCAAGTCAGATGAGTCCCCGCGTTCAGGCGGGCTTCACTCTGGTCATAGAGTTCTTCATTTCGACAAACTCAGTACTACAAGTGAACCTAGCAACCCAGGAGAACCAACCAAATTAAGCAAACCCACTAATTCAGGCGGGCTTCGCTTCTCAGGTCATATTCCTAATTCAAGAAGACTGCCTAAGTCAGGTGAGTCTACCCGAGCAAGCGAACCAGTAAAACTAGGCGAGTCTCACCTGGTCCGCCTAACGGACGAATCTTACATGTGAACAAGCCGTAACAAAGGCGAGAGGGTAGGCGAGCCCCATCAAGCCCGCCTGAATATGCAAATTTAAGCCAGCCTGAATATGTAAACGGCTAAAATTCACCAACTGGCTGGAGCTCGCCCGAACGTAAGAACCTGCTTGTCAAGGCGAGCTCTCCTGAATTCGGCACTTAGCCATTCCGCCCAGTGTACTCAGGAGAATTCATTCGAACCTCTCTCACATAATCACATGTATGGCCCCTCTGACTCTGGGGGTCTTCACTAGCAACCTGCGGGAGATCTCCAGGATCATGTAACCCGCAAGTGCACTATTCATGAGGCGAATCCTCAGTGCTACTGCGAGAGGCTCATCCAAGCAGTACTTACCGATTGCCAGTGTGTAGGAGCATCGAGACCCTCGGTGTTCAAGTAATAATGGAGCATATTCATCATGCATGTAGGCGTCCAAAAATGTCTATAGGTGTCCGTACACAGCTCGAGATGAAGAGAAAACGACGAACGTCATTATCCAAGTCAAAAAAGGATTATCTAATGCCAACAAGCACATGAAGCGAATCTGTGAATCGTTAACGATGTAGCAACAAGCTATCGGGATAGCCATCGCCAAGTGGCCCGCGTGCTCACCGGCCATAGCCAAGTAGCCCGCAAGCTCATCGGCCACTAGAATGGCAAACCAAGTGGTCTGTGTGCTCACCGACAACCTCCATGTGGTCCGTGTACTCACCGGCCACCACAAGTGGCCCGTGTGCTCACCAACCACTGCCAAGGGCCCGCACACTCATCAGCCAGCTCCAAGTGGGGTGCTCATCGGCCACCGCCAAGTGGCTCGCATGCTCATCAAGCCACTAGAATAGCAAACCAAATGGTGTGTGCGCTCACCGGCACCTCTAGGTGGTCCGCGCACTCATCAGCCAGCGCCAAGTGGCCCGTGTGCT